TATGGCAGAGTCTCACTGTAAAGCCTTGGCTGGCCTTCAACTCTTAGATGTCTGCCTGCTTCTGCCTCCTGAGAGCTTGGAATAAAGGCTTGCACCACTGTGCCCAGCCGAAATTCCTTTTTCAAAGGGTGACAGTCAATTTGAAGTTAAAACACACACTGTGCAATGAATGTGGGGCCCGGTCACACCATCTGAGGCTGGTGTTAACCTTCAGGTTCTGATATGAATGGTAAGTGCCCCTGAGGATGAAGGGCTGTAACAGCCTGCTATGCACTTCTCCCCTCTTAGGCTATATTAGAAAGATGTTGCTACATCATCACATAGCTTTGTATTTCTCCAGCAGGAGTCTAGTCTCGGTTCACACCAAGAACAGGGCCTGAGCCCCAGCATTTAGTATTATCCAGGCACATGGTACATTGAGAATAATGGGTGTCTATGTCCCATCTCCCACAGCCTTAAGAGACAGGTCTTCTTGTCCCTCTTTTATAGGTGACATGGAGAGAGCTGGAGTAAATGGAAGGCTGCTCTTTTGTTACAGTCACAGAAGGGTGTTTGTTCTTGGAAGTTGCTTCGCCCCAGCGATTAGCTCTGGGCCAGGCCACTATGACTTGTCATTCAGACTACAGGCTCGTCTGTTCTGCTCAGTGTATTCTCAGTGACACTTGTTATGCCCACCCTCCTCTCTGGCTCAGGTCCTCTTGACACAGATTTAAATGTCTGTGTTTCCCTAATGGAACATCGTATTCCTAAACTTCTAAGAACCTGAGAATTTAGGCAAACCATAGCATCAAAACCAGTGCAAACCATTTGATTAGCTAAACATTCTATGCTTATTCCATTGTGTTGCCCATGTATGAAGCAGAAAAGAAGCAATAACTAGATTTTGTCTCAGATAGACATTGGCTCATGTTCTTGAGTTTTGATTCTATTGGGCAGAATGGAGTACTGGGATTCAAGACCACCCTTCCAACCCATCCCCCAACCCCTGCAGTGCTGACTTTACTCCTTGCCTATAAACTACAGAGAATGTTCTTTGCTAACTCCTGGATGCAGGAGTGAAGCCTGCTCTGGCTGTGGGCAAGATAAGTCTTGTGCCCCAGATAGTAATACACAAACACAAGGCAGCCACAAGCCCCTACTCCAGGTTACAGAGTGTCAAAAGTGCTCCTGACGAGGAGCCACGTTGTGGAACATTGTATGATGTCGCCAGCATGTGTGAGTCACCTTGATTGGAACAGCTCCCTTTCTGTGTGGCAGGTGGGAAGGGTTACTTCTGGAGAGAAAAGTCTCACACCCTGCAGAATACACAGACAGGTTACCTGGAAGCCAACCTTCCTAGTTCCGGTTGCCTCACCTTTAAGACAACTATAATGACCCGGTGCAGGTTGTAACCAGGCTTCCTGAGATGCTGTATAAAAGCAGCAAGCTAGCTCCAAGTTCCCATGAGGCTGCAGGTGGTGTTTACCCTGGGGGCTGTGCTTGGATAAAGCAAGGGAGATGGACAACCTGGCTCTCCTGCCCAGGACAGAAGAATGAAGACGGTCACAGGTGTTCTCCAGGCTCCCTGTCCTCTGCCCCAGGATATTAGTTGAGGTTTTACAAAGTAGCTGCAGGAGGAAGACCGTCCCTAGCCAGTCCCAGACGCAGAAAGGCCGCCCTCCTGAAGGAGCCACAGCCTCTGTCTAGATTTGAGGCTGCTTAGTAGAGGAATTCTTTGTCTCTGGAAGAAGCTTCTCAACTTAAAGTTATAAAATTTTGATCTGATTGCTCCTTAAGAACAAAAGTAGAGTCAGAGATTCCTTTCCTTCCCAGTGTCCCCGTGGCTGTTTTCTAGGGCTGCCCACCAGTACCCTGTCAAATTGACTTCTCAAAGCTATGGCTGCAAAAGTGTCATAGAAGCTCTTTATGTTTGAGAATGAAGCTGGAATGCTTTCTTCTCTAAAGGTTAACTAGGTGTCCCTGTGTTAGCAGAGAGTAAGGAGGTTGCAAAAAACAACTTTATTTGAGCTGGAAGACTGAGAAGTGTGAAGCAGTGTGCAGGGTTGGCTACCCCGAGGCAAAAAGGGAAACCATTTAATTTCTCCCTCATTGCTGCCTCCCGTATCTCTCTATGGTCCAGTCTCGGCACACCCAGCCCGGTCCAGTAGTGCTGAACTGAAAACCTGTTGCTCTATGTGGTGTCTCAAGCCTGTCATTCCAGCACTTGGGAGGGAAGTGTGAGGATTGCCACAAGTTCAAGGCCAGCCTGAGACAGCATGCTCCTACCTGTGTGGCCATCAGCAAACAATCCAGTCAGACTCCACTTATAAAAACCTGGGAAAGTTCCTCTCTTGGTGGTTAGAAAAAGTACCTACCTTTTGAGATCCTGCCTCAAAAGGGGGGTGGGGAAGTTGCTAGGCCCGGCATGGTAGCTTGTGCCTCCAGCTCCTGCTCTTTGGGAGGCTTCAGCAGGAGGATTGCTTACCCCATGAGACTGGAGCCAGCCTAGGCAGCAGAGTGAAGACACCTTCCCCCACCTCCATCCCATTTCTAGGAAGGAAAGAAGCAGGGAGGGGAAGGGAAAGTGGGAAGAAAACCGAAAGCCTGCATGGACCTCTTAGAGCCTGGAGGAGCCACGCCCACTGAAGGAGCAACAGAGGCCTGAGCTGAAGAGTAAATCAGGGATTGCTGTTTTCAACTTTTTCACTTCTTCTGTTTTGTCGTACAAGCTAGCTGCTTTAAATATGACTTTTAACCAGTGGGGAAGGGGAGGTGTCCTCTGTGTATCTCCATCCAGGTGTCTTCCCTGAGCAGGAACTTCCCGGGCTTTTATAAATAGAGCTTGACTGTGGATTATTTGCTGATGGCCACACAGATAGGAGCAGTGAGTGATGTTGTCCCTGTGTGACCTCTCCTTCAGTTACAAGAAAATTTTCCCTGGCCCTGGAAACTTCATCCTGAAGGTTGAGGAAAAGAGAATGCTTGGCATTACTTTCACACAAAGGGAACAGAGAAACCGTGAGGGTGCAGCCACTCAGAAAAGCCATCCTGGTCACAGACAGCAGCTAGGAGGGAGCCCTTTTTTCTGGATTACAGGGACAGACTTTGTCAACCAACCTGTATGCATCAGAGCCCTGCACTCTGTGCAAGGTGAGGTTGCCCATGCCATGATGGCACTTCAGACACCTGATTAATAGACCCTGGCCTGGGCCTCTCCCTTGGGCAGGGCTCCATGACTGGAATCTGAGGAAGAGTCGACTAGTGTGTGTATTGAATCAAAGTCACTTAAGGCCTCAGACAAGGCCAGGCCACCCTGCCCTGCCATACACTTCCTTCTCCTGTTTCCTGTACCTCTGTCCCACTGGCCTTCCAGTGTTCTTGTGGCTGTCACCACACCTTTGTCTCTCTCCTGATACTAATGTGGCAGAATTGCCTCATGACCTGTTCTAAAGGGCCCTGCCTAGACCACATCAGTCAAAACCCTGGAGGTCCACCCAGCAGGTAGGAGAAGGGGTGGGCAGCCCAGGTGCATAAGCCTGGAGTTCCAGTAAATTGCAGCTGCAGTCTATGAAACCCCATTGTTCTGGGCCCTATGCTAGACATGCATTAGTGATTTGAATTTGCCCTACACTGCAAAGAAGGAAAAAACCTTTGAGGTGGATAATGGTGTCCTTGTGTTACAAATAAGATGATTAGCACACAAAGGAGAGGTGGCCTGCCTGGTCTCAGCCTCCTGGGGAGTAGCAGTGAAGCATCCAGAGTCCTGCACACATGTTGACACATGGTGTTTTAGTTCGGGTTTTGTTTTTTGAGGTAGTGGTTTGTTTTTTTTTTTTTTTCTTGTACAAATGTGTAGAAAATGTCGCCACCACAGGGTTCAGGCCTCTGTGATCATTGACTCAGGCCTTGGAGACATCTATGTCTGGGGGCACTGACATGGTCTGTGTTACTAGTGTTGTTACCGTGTCTGGTTTAAACTCTGTGCAGCACAAGCCCTCCGAAAGAATGAGTCAGCCTGGGTTTGCTGCTGGCGCCATGGTGCCCTAGACTGCTGAGTCCTCACACAGTGCCAGGGAGGCACACCTACTGCCCACCTGCTCCCATGAGTCATGAAGCTCTACCTTTTTCTCCGGCTGCCACCACTCTGGGTGTGAATGTAACCATATATGGCAAGGGTACCAGGCAGCACATGCCCTGGGCCTGTCTTCCTCTTGAAATGGTGCCATTGCCTAAGCAGCCAGGTCAAAGCTCAAGGACCAGGCTCTTTCCACTGCCTTGCATCAGGTGGTTGTGAAGACCAGGCAACAGGGCAGTTTAGAATCCAAGGACACAAGCCAGAGAGGAGGATCAACCCTCCAACATGTAAGGGCAGGTAACAGGATGGGCCACCAGGATGAGGCAGAAAGGAATGATAATACTTCACTATTGCAGACTATTGTAAATTTGAAATTTGCTGTAGATCTATCACAGAGACTCCTTCAGCTGAAGCCCCCCCACCATAAAGAAAGAATTGTTTACCTTCCAACAGTCTTACACATACTGCACATCTGATGACCCCTAACATTGCCCTGTGTGCCAGTTTCTTTGGAGGAGGGCTTTCTGGCCATTTCCTGTGACTTGAATTTTCATCAGGCTAGTAGAATGAAGTTAAACCTTCTGCTATAGGGGTTGTGGTGACAGTAACATGCTTTGCTGACAGATGTTTGCTTTTGCTGCAGGTCCTTTAACTACTGCTACTGGTTTTTGTTGTTTGTTATTTTCCTTAGTCCTTTAAAGGACAGCTTTTTGTACTCTATTGGGCCACACAGATTGAAGCAATTGATGCTAGATTTCTGCAGAAAGGTTTTGTAGATACTCTGATGGATGGCAGGCTGGCACACCTGGATCATCACCGAAATGGCCGTGGGGCATTTCTGGCTGGGTTGGTTGGGGAGATGCATGCAGCATATTCAAGTAATATATCCTAGTAAATGTTTAAATAACCTAAAGGAAGTGCTAGTCACCTTTAAAATTCTCTTCAGATTTCAGGGAAGACTAATTGGCAAAGATGTCCAGCAAGACGGCAAGCACCAACAACATAGCCCAGGCCAGGAGAACGGTGCAGCAGTTGAGACTGGAAGCCTCCATCGAAAGAATAAAGGTAAGTGTGAGTAAAGCTGGTGCATAACTCTGCAGCCACATGCCATGCTTCCAGGCTTTTCTTAGAGCAGGCTGAAAGTCACTTAGTTTTCGTTTCCTACCTGGCACAGGTGTTATTCTAACACAGCTGAGGGGCCACATAGCTAAGCTAGCCCCTCTGTCCAGCCCTAGACAAGATTTCCCGGGAGCCTGCCTTCCCTGAATGAATATGGTCAATCCTTGTCATGACTGTCTTCTGAGTGGGCACAGGATTTCCAGTGGAGTTGACAAACACCCTTGTCATCCTCCTGGAACTTATCAGTGCTACGGGTCAACTGTCAGTCCGAATTTCCTTTCGGAAAATGCTGCCTTTCCGTGACTCACTTAGTGACTGACCACTCTGGCCCAGGTTTAGTAGAGCATCCATCTCCAGGCCAGGTACATTTTCTTAGATACCTTCACCTTGAAGTGTCCCCCATAATCCTGAGAGTACTGGCCAGTGAGAGCCCTGGAATGTTGTGACTAATGCTGTTTCCTGAAACTGAAGCAGTCACCTGACTGGAGATCGTCACCTGACCGTAAAGAGTGAGGTTCCAGTAGTGGCCCTTAGAGCTCTGGTCTCCTCACTCCCAAAACCCACCTCCAGACGCTTAATAGGACACCGAGTTCCACATGCCACACCAGAGAAAGGCACAGTCCCTTCCTGTGCTACTGTTGGGCTTTTCGCCTCCTCACGCTAGGTCACGAACAGTAAATTTCAAAGCTCAGTCAGCCGTGGGCTCCATAATTCAATCCTAAAACTGTTGTGTTCCGTCTCCTTTCTCATGAATAGAAACTAAAATGTAACTTCCCTTGATTCACACACCTCTCTCTTTTACTTCATACTACAGGATGGCAAATATCCAAATACTCACCTTTTATTACTAATTTGTGTGTGTGTGTGTGTGTGAGAGAGAGAGAGAGAGAGAGAGAGAGAGAGAGAGAGAGAGAGAGACAGAGACAGAGAGACAGAGAGACAGAGACAGAGATGTGACAGCACACGTATAGAGGTCAGAATACAGTTTTTAGGAGACTATTCTGTCCTACTGTGTGGGCCCTCAGGTCATGAGGCTTGGCAGCAGGAGCTTTTACCCTCAGTGGTATATTCTCTTCACCAAGGTTTCACAGCCGTCTATTTACATTTGTTGCTACTGAGCACTGTCAAATGTGCTTTGCTTTTATTCTTCTCTCAGTGTCTCTCTTTTGCTCCACATTTATACAGAAAACACCAGGAGCTTTTTTTTTTAAGTTACTTGAAAACCATTGCACTTCAGGGTTCTACAACAACAGTATTTAACCCACAGTGTGTTTAATGGCGAATCCACTGCAGCTTGTTTTGCAGTGTTGCAGTCACTTAAGAGTTGAGATTGACTGTTACTTGTTTCCAGAGAAATGTTTTTACTAGCTTGCTGTGGAGGTGTCCTCACACGACCATTTGGTTAAGGCAGGTCTTACCTGCCAGCACCATTTTCCTTACATCTGACAAGTGGTCTGTCTCACAGCCACACTCCGACACTGGTTATTGGGTTAAGTAGGATCCTTGTCAGTGAACTCTTACTTGTGTCCATGTCAGGTCTCCAAAGCATCTGCAGACCTGATGTCATACTGTGAGGAGCATGCCCGGAGCGACCCTCTACTGATGGGCATACCGACCTCGGAAAACCCATTCAAGGATAAGAAGACCTGCATCATCTTATAGTAGACCGGGAAGCAACCCCTCGCCTTTTAACGCAAACCACAGCAGCAACCTGAAGAGACGCCTTCAGCTTACCCGGTAACCACGGCTAGTAACTAAAACACTCTTCTCTTGGAATAACAGACCCTGAAGTCTCTCTCTTCCGAGTTGTCCTTTCTTTGCCCTTTACTGATTTAATACAGAATAACAATCTTACTTTCTATTTGGTAACTATGGTATCATAATCGGGTTACTGTATAAGGAAAGTGGCAGGGGAGTTGGGGAAGCTTGTCTTTACAATATACAGTTGATTAAGATATGTCAAGACCTACATTGTCTAAGCACCAGTAAATTAAAATGTCAAGAATCACTTCAGTCCGAAACCTTTATATTATGTCCTTAATCAGACTTTTGCCAACCTGTCCCTGCCCTGGGATGACAGGTATCTACAGCCATATCTTTTTGCACTATTGACACTAATCACACTGAAATTCCCTGCTGTAAGATCAGCCCCTCAGAATTATGCCTTTATCTTGAACTCTGTGTAGGTAGGATAACAGATTCTTTCCATATAATTTTTGTATAAAAAAGCTAATGAAAGAATGTTGCAAAGCTCATCTTCATCATCATGAGCTGATGCTGTTATCTCTCCTCCCTTGGAATCGTGCTGGCCCCTTAGTCTGCAATAAACTGCGCCAATTAAAACGCTAAGACTAAACTTAAAGCCCTTGATATGAGCTCTTGTCATATCAGTCATCTGATCTTCTGTGATTCCGAGGCTAAGAAAGGGGAAGAGACCCTTGGGGGGGACCCTGGGCAGCTTCACTCCAGGGCTCATGATCTCTGCTGGCTTGGGGGTGGCCACCTCAGAAACTTCCACCCTCATGGCTGGAATGCAAGAATGAACTGTGAGCCTCTCCGTTTCTCCTCGTCAGCATGGTACCTGTCTCTTGCTGCTAGAGCAACTGTTTTCAGGAGGGACATTCTCTCCTGCCCAACTCCAACTGGGTAGAAGACAGTGGGAAAAGCACTCAAGACATATAAAGACACTTAAGCTCTTTGCAGATGCCTGAGTCTCATCACTACCATGTTCACAAACCTCCCTGCCAAAGGCAGGCTTCCATTCTGTAGAGCAGTTCCAATGCTTCCAGCAGCTGGGTATTGAGGTCATCAGTTTTACTCTGATCATGAAAATAGCCCACATACCCTCAGAGTGTCCAGTGTCGATCCCAGAGGCACGCAACCTGCCATGACCCAGGCCGTATCCACTTTATCACAATGAGAAGGTTCTTTTAAAATATTCATTTAGAAGCCCAAACCAAACACAAGGCCTGTGATATTTTAATTCATTTTCAGTTCATTGAGGTAACTAGTAAGGAAGGATTTTTAAAAAGTGTTCTCTGAAAGGATGTAGCCCCCAGGAGTTGTTTAGAAAATTTCCCCAACTGGTGTACAGTGTGCCCTAAAATAAAACTCTTTTAATATCTAATGCCTGGGCTTTGAGCACCATGTTTCTTGATAGTAAGCAGATGCAGTACTATTCCTAAATGACATTCAGTATTTCTCCAAGTCACCCATCTGGCCAGCACTTGGAACTGAGCATGAGAAAGCCATAGCACTGCCCACAACCTGTTCTCCCCTATTGCTTAGTTTCCAGTTGAACTAAAGGCCCCTGTTCAGGAGAGAGAGAAAGCTTTTACCTTGGGAAAGGTAAAAGTGGAAATGTACAACAAAAAGACAATTTTTACATTTAATGGAACATTCTTTTTTTACAAGTATATTTTTCTACTGATGGTTTCAGAACACTAATCTTATATTCACTCTAATTTTAAACATGTTTCTTTAAATATTTATAAGGCAGTTTATTACAGGATATTTTTATGCAATCATGTGCACATTATTTGTAGCAAGCATAGTATATTCTTTAATACTTAAACATATCTTTGTTAATATGCTTTTAATGGTAAGAAATGAACTTAAGGTCCCAAGAGATTTTGTTGCCTTTTCATTGGTTTGAGACAGTAAATGTCTTGCAACTTCCTAACCAGATCTGAGCTGTGCTCACAATAAGAATAAAATCAGATCCTTTGATGCTGGACCCAAGAAGGAAAACATTAAGCCAAATATTGATTTACTTACAACTGAATGTCTATGTGAGAAAGTATAATATATGTATATGTGTATATGACATGCAGAAGTCACTTTTATTTATCTGTCTTGTTCACTTACGAAGCCAGATAACTGCAGCAGTACATTGATGACGGTCATATGAATGGAAGTCCTGTGTGGGATTCTTTTCCTACACTGACTGCTTGGCTTCATTTCTGTATGTCCAGTCTGTCTCGCCTGTAGTACCACTCCTGTGAGCAATGTAGTGTTTATCCCTGATTCCCACAGTTCATCTTAAATTTGTCCAGTTTAAGCCCCAGGGCTGTGGCAAGATAGAGCATGCAAGATTTCATGACTCCAAAACCTTTTTAAGAAACACATATTTATAAACAGGGAAATACTTTATAAACCAGGTAGTTCATAAGCTGTTGGTTGTAACTAAATATTTTGTTTTTCTGAAATCATGTTTTTCAAATTTTTTTGCCATATGAAAGTAAGAGAGTGTCATACTTAATTTTCAAGGGAAGATTGGGTCTTCTTTTTCTGTGTTTGGGTTATTTTTGTACTTTGCTGATCTTTATTCATGGGGACAATTTTATACCAATGGGTTAGTAATTTTGACTCATTGTTTACACGATGTAAGATGTGTCAAGCTGGGGCCAGCCAGGTGGCTCAGTGGGTAAAGGTGCTTGCTTCCAAGCCCAGCAGTCTGGGTTTGGTCCCTAGATTGTACAAGGTGGGAGAAAGAACTGATTCCCACAGGTTGTTGTCTGACTCTGCGTGCTCATTGTGTTACCCCTACACACACAAATAATAAAATAACACTTTGAAAAGATGTGCCAAGTTATCTGTCCAGGTGCCACCTCTCTACCAGCTTACCACTAAGGCAGAACTATCAGACTCATCACCCCAAATCTATAGTAAAAGTATGTCCATGTACAGGCCCAAGAGCCATTTCCAGTGCTATGCTATGACATTTGTTGTTTTCTTTCATCATAAGCCTGTTAGTAGGAAAAATATGTCAAATCAAATAGAGTAGAGCACTTAGCAGTGGTTGGTGTTCTGGTCAGTCCTGTGCCGGATGGCTTTGGGCCAGGCACCTCAGCTCTCCTTTCCCCCTTTGCCATAGGGAGTAGGAGATGCTGGCTGAGATCCTCCGTATTCCCAGGTGCCTTGGTTGAATGACCTGCCTCTCTGCTGGTCCTGCCAGTGTGTTGGTGCTATGAGCTGCTTCAAATACTGGTTTGTCTCACCTAATTGCTTATGTTACATAGTGCCTGTTCCTAGATTTATGCACTTAGTTTCTGTAATGTCTCATTGTTAGCCATGTTAACTACAAACACTTACTCTGTTATGTCTCAGTAAAGTTTCATTTGATAAATTGTTGTTGAGATTTTATTATTTGATGATACTCTTTGGCTACACATCCAGCATCTTGTGCATTTTTAACACTGTGATTGCTACTTGGAACTCTGTTCTGTAGAAAGAATAAAAGCATCTTTTTCACTTGCTAACATGCTCACCAATGTGAGAGAAGTCATTAAAAGCCCGCCTTACTCACTGCGTCACTGCGTTATTGACTCCTTCCTGTGTTTTGCTCAATAAATTAATAAAAGACCATTTCTCTTCCTTTTTCCCTCCATTCACTTGACATTTTCTAAGTGCTTTCTGAGAGCCAGGTGCTGAGGGCACATAGGCAAACAAGGCTCGCCCGGGCCCTGACAGCCTTGGAGCGTGAACTGAGGAGGGTGGGACGACCCACTTACCTCAATCGTTGCAGTACAACCATGTGTAGAGCATGAGTCATGAAAGGGCATTCTGGGAGCCGAGAGGAGAGACAAGTGTCAGAACTAAATCTTCTAGGAGGGCAGCTAAGGTGTTATGTGTGCCACGATCTGAAAAGCAGAAAAAAACCTGCAATGGCTTGGCCCTCATGCGGAAGAGAGAGTGGACTTGGAGCTCAGATGTAGGTATTCCATACACTGTATACACACTGGAAGAACAAGGGTTTAGGAGGTGGTTAGGACATGACACCACGAGTCCCATTGGTGACCATGAAAACAGGGTAACTTTGCAGTTGCTGAAGACACTCTGCTTCCAACCCTGTAACCCTCTGCGGTGATGAAGGTCACACACAGCTTCTGAAAAGTGAGGAGAGGGAGCAGCCCACCAGGCCATGAAGCAGGTCTGCTAGGGAAGGGCTGTCCTCTGCAGAGCCCCACTCCCCATAGCATGCACACCATGGGTGTCAGACTGTCCAGTAAGGACTTCAGTGTTGAGAATGAGACCACAGCTGACAAGCACTTGTATTAGCTGTTACCAAATTCCCTAAAGCTACTTTCAAATTTCCCTGTTCTCATCCCTGCTACGCCCACTCCCACAGTGTTGGTGATTCTCTGAAGACAACTGTACTGGGGATGATGGTGGAATTTAGTAAAAGTGAGTTTTTAAAGAGACAGGATGACAAAACTGAAAGTGAGCGCAACAGATGAGTGTACACTCCCCTGAGAGGAGTGACAGTAGCAGTGGCAGGTGACAGTGCACTCCCCTAAGTCATGGACAGCAGGCACCTGCCAGCGGTGTAAGAACAGCAGGTGAGTGTACACTGCCCCAAGGTATGGACACAAGGTTCCTCCCGAGAGTGGTAATAAGTGTACACTGCCCGATGATGACAGTAACAGCCTGGCGACGCATGCCACTCGGGGTTTCAGTTTTTCTCGGCATGTGCCATCATCAGCGTTTCACTGACAAGAGAATTACACAGAGACACGTGGACAGTCACTGTCAGCTTTCATACTGAGGGATAGGTACACCCGCGTCCCTCTCAGTCGTCTGTCGCTGAGCCTGTTTGTCGACTCTGATCCATCACCTGCTCTAACCGTCTTTGCGCAGCCTTGATATGGTCAGCACCTTCAACTGATTTGCCTTTGCTCCAAGCTACCCCAGCCTGGGACTGCTATGAGCAGCAAATGACCTTTGCCCTCAGATGGCCCTCTTTGTTCTTTGTCCTTGTGTGAGTCATTGGTCTGCATGTAACCGTAGGCCACCCCTGGAAAAATGTACTATGAATCTAAACATTCACCTCAACAATTCATTTTTCACAATCCAATATTGACTTTGCTCTGCAAGAAATTACAGTCTAGGGGCTAAGATAAGGTTAAGAGCATGAACGGTACTTGAAGACCTGAGTTAAGTTCCCAGCACGTTGCATCAGGCAATGGAACCGTGACTCCAGATCCCGGGGATTTGATGTCTCTGACTTCCCCAGGCACCTACAGGCATGAGCACGTACCCCCACACAGATGCATACTTACACATTACTAAACATGAAATCTTTAGAAATTGAAGTCCAAGTAAATTCATGCTAAGGTGTTAAATGGTTTAATATGTGAGTTTGTTGGCACCATAAGATGTAATTTTATGGAGGAAGCAATGTTATTAGCACAAAGGAATGAAAGATAATAAAATTTTAGATGTCATTGGAAGTTAGTTACTACAAATGCAGTTTCCCAGTGATACCTCCCAGTCCTCACAGGCAGTCCATGCTGCTTTGAAAGTGAGTAATAGAAACAGCTAAAATACAAATTGGATGATGCCAGACTTGAATAGCTGGACATCACTGTGCAAACTGCTTCTGGTAGGCCCGGCACCTCCACACACCCTATTTAGTGACCTTCACTTCACAGCGAGGGGACACAAGCCATCTGACACCGGGACCTAGAGATCCACTAGGTTCTGGAGCTGGATGGACCCAAAGCAGTGGCCTGGTGAGAGAACCTGCTGAGCCAGGCACCGGTAGACTGAGTTATTAAGGAGCCCTAGGATGTAGATGAGCACAATCTTGCGGTGGGTGTGTGAGGCCTGGGTGATAGTATACGGTTCTTTTTCTTTGGCAATGGGTATTGAAACCAGCACCTCAAGCTTGGTAATTGCACCCTCTATAATTGAGACCCTCCCGGCTACAAATTAATCCTTTAGTTTACCAGTTATGTAATTTTATGTCCCAAGGAAGCTAGAACTAGTGTAACAAGATAGATTAAAGTCATCTTCTGAAGTATATTTTTAAAATAAACTAGTTTACACGTTTTAAATCTACGTAGCCTTTAATTCAACACTATGCTGAGGTCTCATGGTTGCTCTGAGCACAGGCAGACATTTCTCCTTCCATGGCCAATGTACTAGGTGTGGCTTGTTCTAAGTAAGTCTGAGATCTGCTGTCAGGCCCATTTTGGTATAAGCTGTGGAACATCAGTCTATATAGTTCAAGGCATTGGTGCACTTGGAGGGGAAGACCAACAGGAGTTTGGGCATTGTGCAGGTTCTGCCTATTCCTCACAGCTGCTGTTGAAGGGAAAGTAAATGTGATTTAACCCCATAGGTCAAGAAACAGGCTCAGAAAGATGACATCATATCCTGTCATTCAAAAATGCTAGAGAGATGACTCTGCAGTTTAGATCCCTTGCTACCCTTCCAGAAGTCCCAGGTTTGGTTCCCACAACCCACATTGGGTTCCTCACATCTGTAACTCCAGTTCAGGGGAACCAATGGTTTCTTCTGGCCTCCATGGGCACTGTGATAATTCACATGAGAATGGCTGCCATACTATATTTGAATACTCAGTCCCTAGTTTGTGGAACTATTTGGGAAGGATTGGATGGTGTGGCCTTGTTGAGAATGTGTGTCACAGGGGGCAGGGTTAGGTTTCAAAGTTTGTACCATTGATAGCTCTCTTTCTCTGTCTGGCACTTGTGGATCAAGATGTAAGCTCCCAGCTGCTGCTTCAGCACCACGCCTGTCTGCCTGCTGTCATGTCCCCTGCATGGACTTTAATCCTCTGACACTGTAAACCCTCAATAAACTCTCCTATAGGTTGTTTTGGTCATGGTGATTTATCACAGAAAAAGAAAAATAGTGAATATATGCACCTGCTGGCATGGTAACACACTTAAGTCTTTAATCCCAGCACTCAGGAGGCAGAGGCAGGTGGATCTCTGTGAGTTCCAGGTCAACCTGGTCTACAAAGTGAGACTGTCTCAGAATAAATATTTTTTTATACTTTCCTTAGTGCAGATCCTAAGCTCATGTCATCTGAATTCTATACCCATGTATGCTCTCTGTTTTTAGTTTTAAGTAGGCATTTTTAATGACAATAACTTAGGATCTTAAAATCAAGAAGGTAAGGTAAACAAATAAGTTCTTTAGTAGTCAAGAGGACCAGGAGGCATGATGGCTCATGCAGGGAATCCCAGCACTTGGGAAGTAGAAACGGGAGAATCAGGGTCATCCAGGTATCAAGGCCAGCCTGGACTATATGCAACTCTGTCTCCAAAGATCAGAGTATAGTATCTGAGCAAAGAGTAAATGGTGGTCTCTTTGGGGTACTTACTATGATCAAGTACATTTTGCGTCTATTTATTAATTCTCACAGCAAATCCAGGCAGTAACTACCATTATTTCTTAATTTATATATGCAAAAGTAGAGGCTTAGAGAGATCCAAAAGTATATTTAATATACCTTTCACATTGAAATTTTTACAGATTGATTTACATAGAAAAATATATGGTCCTCATTGCCCCTTGTTCCCCTTTCCCATCCACAGAGGACACATTCTAATGCTGCCAGTGGGTGTCCTATGTAGACTGCTCTTTCTTGTATGTACATACTTATGATAAAGTTTAATTTTAAATCAGGCACAGTAAGAGTTGAATAATAGTAACATAATAAAATGATTATAAATATGCTAAAATAAAATTTGCCAATTTTGAATTTTCCATTTAGCATCTTTCAGTCTTTTTTTTTTTTTTTTTTTTTTTTTTGGTTTTTTCGAGACAGGGTTTCTCTGTATTGTTTTGGAGGCTGTCCTGGAACTCACTCTGTAGACCAGGCTGGTCTCGAACTCACAGAGATCCGCCTGCCTCTGCCTCCCGAGTGCTGGGATTAAAGGCGTGCGCCACCAACGCCCGGCAGCATCTTTCAGTCTTGATTGACTACAGAAGAGGGTCTACTGAACCTTACAGTCTGAAGTACTCCCTTCTGGTCACCAGTTTGCTGTCTCGGCACAGGCTAGCGACGACCTCTAGTTTTTGTTTTCTTGTCCAGTAAAAATAATTCAGGCTAGGCAATACCTCACATTTTCCTCTAGCTTTGAATTTCATCATGAAATTGAATTTCACCATGATCACTGTCTTAGGTTTCTTTTGCTGTGATAAACACCATGAAAAAAAAAAACAAATTGAGAGGAAAGGGTGTATTTCAGCTTGTCATTCCACATCACAGTGCCTCAATAACTGGTCAGGACAGGAATTCAAACAGGACAGGATCCTGAAGACAGGAGCTGATGCAGAGGCTATGGAGGAGTGTTGCTTAGTGGCTTGTTCCTCTTGGCTTGCCTTACTTGCTTTCTTATAGAACCCAATAACACCAGCCCCTACCCCTGTAGGGGACACCACCCAAAGTGAGCTGGGCCCTCCCCCATTAATCATTAACTAAGAAAATGCACCACAAACTTTCCCACAGGCCAGTCTGATGGGGTACTTTATCAGTTACCGTTCCTCTTCTAAAA